TCTCACTCCATTTGGTGCTTGGCTGAGTTCTTTATCTCTTCATTTGATGTTCTATGGTTTCAGGATTGTTGTATTCTCTGTTTGGCTTAGTTTTTTGGATCTTTGCTGTGGAGGGACGGCGTGGTGCTTCCGTCTAGAGTGCCATTTTGCCGGAACTCCCCCCTGGTTCCTTTTTGCTGAACAGTTCCTCAATCTATCGCTTTCTTCTCGCATTTTTCTTCAACATTTTGCTTGGAAATCTCCTCCACTAAATAAACATCCAAGTTCATTACTTACAAGTTCTGCTTTCCATATAACTATAGGACACAATTTAGTTAAACTTTCAGTCACTATACAACAAGGATCCTCTTTTCTCTTAGTTTCAAATAACACATTCCTCATTCCCTTCTGAGCCCTCAGCAGCAGTGCTTTTAACATCCACTTACGGACAACAGTCTGTTTATGAAGATTTGGGTATTTTCTGAGATGATACTGGTTTTCTCTACCATGCTCATCACTTCCTTCTGGGCCCTCACCAGCAGTCTTTAACATCTTTTCCAAGCAGTCTATGCTCTTTTAAAATCATACAATTCAAAGTTCTTCCAGCCTCTACTCATTATACAATTCCAAAGCCACATTCACATTTTTAGGTATTTGTTACAGCAGCACCCTACTTCCTGGTATCAAATCTTGCATTTGTTTCCCGAAGCAATGTAACAAATTACTGCAAACTGGGAAGTTTAAAACAACAGAAATGTATTTTCTCAGAGTTCTAGAGGTCAGAAATCTGAAAGCAGTTTCACTGGGCTGAAATCAAAATGCTGGCAGGGCAGCAGTCCTTCTAAGAGGTTAAGGGGAGAATGTTTCCTTTTCTTTTCTAGCTTCTGGAGGCTGCCTGCATTCCTTGGCTCACGATCCCTTCCTCCATCTTCAAGGCACATCACTCCAACCTCTGCTTCCAATGTCCCATCTCGTCCTTTCTTCTGTTTCTGACCTCTTGCCTCCTTTTTTATCAGGACTTTTATGATTAAATTAAGGCCCCTGAGTGGTGCGAACAGTCTGTGCTCAACTAACCTAAAGGTTGGCAATTAGAACACACCCAGTGGTGCTGCAGAAGAAAAGTCTAGCAATTTGCTTCTGTAAAGATTACATCTGAGAAAATCCTGCAGAGTAGTTCTACCCTGTAACACGGGGTCGCCATGACTTGGAATGAACTCAAGGACAACAGGTTTTGTTTTTTGGTTTGGTGATTACATTCAATCCACCTAGATAATCTAGGATAATCACCCCATTTGAAGGTCCTTAACTTAATTACATCTAGAACTTCCATTTTACCATGTAAGATAACGTACTCACAGGTTCCAGGGATTAGGATTTGGCCATCTCTTGGGGGCCATTATTCAGCCTATCACAGCTACAGAAGTTTGAACAATAGTAGCAACCATCTGGACACAATTAACACAATTAAGATTTATAGACATTACAACCAACATTCTTTTCAAGTGTACATGGAATATTTGGCAAAAGAAACCATATACTGGGGCATAAAATGAGTGTCAATAACTTTCGAGATTGAAATTTTAAGAGTATGTTCTCCCTGCCTAAAATGAAATTAAATTAGGTACTGATAAATACTAGGTAAGTACCAAATATTTGGAAATTAAACACATACAAGTAGTCCCTGATTTACAACGTATTCAAATTATGATGAAATGCTTACAACCTTCGTCTTTTTTTTTTTTGGCTTACATAATGTGCATAAACTGGAGAAGTAGGAAATGCCAATGTTGAAGCTGTAAGTTTACATTTAATATTTCCAACCCCTAAAGAAAAATAAAGATTAGGTTTATAAAGATACTGATAATAAAAGGCAGTAATAACAAAAACTGAAGGAAAAAACGGTATTTGACTTAACGTCAGAACTGACTTACTAGATGGAGTTGTCGAAATGGAACCCCATTGTAAGTCGGGGACTACCTTACTTCCAAATAATCCATGGGCCAAAGAACAAAATCACTAAAATTAGAAATTATTTTGAACTGACTAAAAACAAAAATACAGAAGAGCAAAAATTATGAGATCTAACTAAAGTGATGCTTAGAGGAAACTTACAGCCTTAATGCTTTCTACTAGAAAAAAGGTTAAAATTAATGTTCTGTCTTAAGCTGGAAAAAGAACAAATTATACCCAAGTAAATAAAAGAAAGGAAATAATAAAAGGTAAAAATAAATAATATAAAAAAGAAACAAATGACAGAATCAATAAAATTTTTTAAAACTCTTGCAAAACTGATCAAGAAAAAAGGAAAACCCAGATTACCAACATCAGGGATGAAACAGAGCATATCACTACAGATCTACAACATTAAAAGGGCAATATGAGAATTTTATGTACAATCTTATGCCAACAAATTCAACAACTTAGATAAAATGGATAAACTCCTTGCAAAGATAACTTACAAAATGCATACAAGATAAAATAGAAAATCTGAATTGCCCTATACCATTGAGGAACCAAATTTACAAAAAAATGTAAAAGCTGTCGTACAGAGGAAGCTTCCTTCCTAGACAGCTTTCAGAAATGGATTCTATCATTTAAGTAATAACAATCTTACACAGACTTTCAGAAAACAGAGGAGTCTCAATTCATTTACTGAGCCCGACATAAATCTGATACCAAAGCCTAACAGAGACATTACAAGAAAAAAATTCAGTGACAGTACACTTAAGATTTTTGCATTTCATTACGTTTAAATTTTATATAAAAATGTAAACAAATATTAAAGTCTACTTACTGATATGCATTCTGAAATATTTAGGACTAAGTGTATATTCAAAATGGACTCTGATACATAGCAAAAATAAGATGGATTCGTGGAATGAATGCAGGGATGAACAGATTGACAGCTATGTAAGTATAATAAAATATTAGTGGTAGAATCTAGGTGCTTAGTATACAATGTTAACTGTAAATTTCCTTCCATTTTGACTGAATATGTTTCAAACACTTCATAGTAAAATTACAGACGGGGTGCTGTCTAGGAAATCACCAATACCCTCTACTCACTTCACTGAAGAAATATAAGTGGTATTTACTTTTGGTCACCTAAAGGTGTCTTCACCAGAGATAAATTCACAGGAACACTCTAAGTGTGAGCCTGTCTTTTAAACCTTCTGCCTTACCTTAGAAATATATTCATTTCTTACAATCCAACTACAGTCATGCATCGCTTAATGTCCATAAGTTCTGTGAAATAGGATGTTATGTGATTTGGACGTTGTGCGAACACCATATTCTATACTGGCAGTCCCCTGGTTATGAACAACCCATAGTTACAAACGAAACCCCATAAAGCCTGTCATATTAAAAATTCACAGACTCACCACTCACTTTCACATTATGCAGCAAAAAACATTGTTTGAAGCGCTTGAGCCACCCAGAGCTAGCACTAAACTCGGGACTGAAGTCTGGTCCTGCTTTTTCTTTAAGCATCCGGAACAAGCTTCATGCCTTAGCAGTAATCATCAGCGTGCTGAGGGATTTGCTTTTGTATTTGGTCCTCAATCCATGTCATTAGCAATTTCTCCATATCTAATATAGGTCCCTCTCGCATTTTTGTTAGCCTTGTAACTTTCAGTGGAGCTGATCCTTTAACAGCTTGGAGGATTTTTTGTTTTTCAGGATCGTCATGATTGTCGAGTGAGACCTGCCTAAATTGCGAGCAACAGCATTTACTGATTTTCCATCTTCAGGTTGTTTAATATCTTTTGTTTCACTTCCAAATCAATACTTCTCCTTTGCCTCTTGCTGCTGCTATCACTAGCACTGGTTTTGCTGCATTTGGGAGCCATGAAGCACTTCATGGTAATATTTTTGAAAGAAAATTAAACAGAGAGATAATGCTACAACACTCAAGAGATGCGTGATACATGAAACTTGATGCTGCTGCCTACAAATCGAAGTTTACGCTGTTATACAGTAAACTTTTTATTTATAACTAGGGAAAGTTCATATTAAAATAACAATAGAAAGTACAGCACAGTACATACATAAGCCAGTAACACAGGCATTTATTACAACTATCAAGACATGGTATTATAGGTTATAACATGTACTGTTACCATTATACTCCTGGCAACGCAATCACTTTGTACACAAGAGACATGATATACGTGTGCTGTGTACTGGAAGCTGTTGCGTTCACTAAGTCCAGTAACGTCTGCTACATCTTGTTCTCCGATCAGGATTTCTGAACTCTATTATAACCTTATGGTACCACGGACGTATATGCGGTCATATGTTGCCTTAACGGACGTTACGTGATGCATGACTGTATTTATAATGTGAGTCAAAATATGTTATTAAAACATCTAAAAAGAAAAAAAAAAAAAAACTTCTGTGTTTATACCAACCTTATAGGCTACCTTACTGGATAACGTGTTTGGTTCCAAACAACTCCTTTGAGATAATAATACTGTTTTAATACGTCTTTGAAGTTTTGCTATTTTTGCCTAGAAGAGAGAAAAACAAATACTAAACTGGAGTACCTAATATGTCAGACAGAGGTGAAGAGAAAGCTTCAATGTGCCAAAGTAGTTTTGTGAGTCTTAGGCATCCACCCAAATAAATGAGAAATTTTACATAAGCTCATCAAAAATTTTTAAATCAAGTTTGATGCTAGTATGATATCCAAGAATGGACAATAAGAACATCAAACTCCTAATTGGTTCCTGGTAAAATTAATGTTGGCAGGAACACCAATCACCAAACAACCATGGGAAAGTTTAAAAAACAACAAAAAACCCAACCTTGAAACAGGTTGTACATGCTCAGAAGTGAGGCTTTGTTTTTTTTTTTAAAGGAAAACTCATCCTATTTGAGGCCAGTGTTATGTTAATATAGAATATACTGAATTAGATATGTGATGCTGAATTTATTTTAAAAATTGCCTACGTATTAAGCCTGTCAGTTGACAAAGAATGCTGATAACTCCAAAAGATGCCAATGTTGCTCAGCTATAATAAATTCTATAATATATATACAATCTTATATATAGGCTTTTAGTCAGGAATCAGATTTGGGCCTGCCCTTATTGTTTTTCTTTCCCAATATGCAATACATCAAATTCTACTTTTAAAAGGACTCAAATGAAATCAAACAAAATCAGAAACTTACAAAGAGTTCGTCAGCTATTGCTTCATGTTTATTCCTGCACTGTGTCTTCCCAATGCGTTCATTCAATTCTTTCAGTTTGTCATCAAACACTCTGTAATTTATACTACAGATCTCCTGTTGAATCAAATGTCTGACCTAGAATTTTAAAATAAAAGCCAAAACACTTCACATTTCATATTTAAAAGTAATTTTCTACTTCTTAAAAACAGCTTTACTCTTCTCTGGATTTACTGTAACCCATAAAATATCATTTATACGTTAACATTTATACTTATATTATCACACCAGTAAGTTTTTTTAAAACTCGCATATCTAACTCAGCAAAACACAAGTAATATTTTCAAATATGGACATATTAGAAATTAAGTTTATTCTCATAGTGCTAATCGTATTTTCCTATAGTTCCACATTGTAAGTGAAACTAAGCATTCTATGTAAAGGAGCTCCAGTTACCTGAAAACTAGAGCCCAGTGAAAATGGTAAGTTGGTCTGTAGTAGAGTAGATATGAGACAAATTATACAAGTTTGAGCCTTGACTCTGCCACTAATAAACTATATTCCCTTTGGGAAATCACAACCTCACTGAACTTCATTTTCCTTTGTCCACAAATGGTAGACACAATAAACGTCTGCTAAGTGAGTGATGTTAAGAGGGTTTTTATAAGAACATAAAAAGACAGTATGTGAGAGCTCCATAAAATGGAAAATACTGAATTGATATGAATAACTGTGCAAGATAATCATCATTACTTGCATAATTCTCGAGAGGAAGGGCTTGCTTGCTCACTGTTAAAATTAAAAAAAGACAATAACAGAATTATAAAGTGACTAATGTCACCTGGCCTAACGCATGCTATCCTAGTAGATTGTAGTAGCTATCACATGAAATGTTAATGCATTTCATCATCAGGCTGTTTTTTTTTTAAAAACAGTGGCCCATTTTCAGGGAGCATAATTAAACTCAGGAGTCCCTTGGTGGTGCAAATGGTTACGTGCTCGACTGCTAGCTGTAAGGTTGGTGGTTTGAACCTACCCAGACGTACCTCGGGAGATAAGCCTGGCCATTTGCTTCTGAAAGGTCACAGCCTTGAAAATCCTATGGAGCAGTTCTACACCGCACACATGGGGTTGCCATGAATCGGAATCAACTCATCAAGTAACCACAATTAATTTCAATGCCCACTGATATAACAGTCTAATGAGACATATATTCAGAAGCACTTGCTGTAGTTTTTCTGCTCAATGTGTGCAGTGTTGTTACTAGGTGGCATCGAGTCAGTTCTAACACAGAGACCCTATGTACAACAGAACAAAACACTGCCGGGTCCTGCGCTATCCTCACAATCGTTATGCTTGAGCCTATTGTTGCAGCCACCGTGTCAATCCATCTTGTTGAGGGTCTTCCTCTTTTTTGCTGACCCTCTACTTTACCAAGCATGACATCCTTCTCCGGGGACTGGCCCGCCTGATAACATGTCCAAAGCACGGAGACAAAGTCTCGCCATCCTTGCTTCTAAGGAGCATTCTGGCTGTATTACCTCCAAGACAGATTTGTTCATTCTTCTGGCAATCCCTGGTATATTCAATATTATTCTCCAAAACCATAATTCAAAGGTGTCAGTTCATCTTTGGTCTTCCTTACTCACTGTCCAGCTTTTGCATGCATATGAGGCAACTGAAATGTTATGGCTTGGATCAGGTACACCCAGTCCTCAAAGTAACATCTTTGCTTTTTTTTTTAACACTTTAAAGAGGTCTTTTGAAGTAGATTTGCACAATGCAATACGTCAGTTTGATTTCTTGACTGCTGCTTCCATGGGCGTTGATTGTGGATCCGAGTAAAATGAAATCCTTGACAACTTCAATCTTTTCTCCATTTATCATGATGTTGCTTACTGGTCCAGTTGTGAGGATTTTCGTTTTCTTTTCGTTGAGGTGCAATCCATACTGAAGGCTGTATGTAATCTTTGATCTTCATCAGTAAGTGTTTCAAGTCTTCTTCACTTTCAACAAGGAAGGTTGTGTCATCTGCATGCTGAAGACTGTTAATGAGTCTTCCTCCAATCCTGATGCTACACTCTTCTTCATATAGTCCAGCTTCTATGATTATTTGCTCAGAATACAGATCAAACAAGTATGATGAAAGGACACAACTCTGACACATACCTTTCCTGACCCTAAACCATGTAGTATCCCCTTGTTCTGTTCAAACGACTGCTTCTTGGTCTATGTACACATTCCTCATGAGCACAATTAAGTGTTCTGGAATTCTCATTCTTTGCGATATTATCCATAATTTGTTATGATCCACACAGTCAAATGCCTTTCCATAGTCAATAAAACACAAGTAAACATCTTTGTGGTATTCTCTGTTTTCAGCCATGATCCATCTAACACTAGCAATGATATCCTTCATTCCACATCCTCTTCTGAATTTGGCTTGAATTTCTGGCAGTTCCCTGTCAACGTACTGCTGCAACCGCTTTTGAATGATCTTCAGCAAAATTTTACTTGTGATTTTAATGATACTGTTCAATAATATTCACATTCTGTTGGATCACCTTTCTTTGTAATGGACACAAATATGGATGTCTTCCAGTCAGCTGGCCAGGTAACTGTCATCCAAATTTCTTAGCACAGGCGACTGAGCACCGCCAGCACTGCATCTATTTGCGGAAACATCTCAATTAGTACTCCATCAATTCCTGGAGCCTTGTTTTTCACCAACGCCTTCGGTGCAGCTTGGACTTTTTCCCTCAGTACCATCAGTTCTTCCTCATATACTACCTCCTGAAATGGTTGAATGTCAACCAATTCTTTTTGGTACAGTGACTCTATATTCCTTCCATTTGCTTTCGATGCTTCCTGCTTCATTCAATATTTTCCCTGTCAAATCCTTCAATAATGCAACTCAAGGCTTGAATTTTTTCTTCAGTTCTTTCAGCTTGAGAAATGTTGAGTGTGTTCTTCCCTTTTGGTTTTCTAACTCCAAATCTTTGCACATTTCATTATAATACTTTACACTTTGTCTTCTTGAACTGTCCTTTGAAATCTTCTGTTTAGCTCTTTTACTTCATCATTGCTTCTATTCACTTTAACTATTCTACGTTCAAGGACAAATTTCAGAGTCTCTTCTGACATCTATTTTGGTCTTTTCCTTCTTTCCTGTCTTCTTAAGGACCCCTTGCTTTCTTCAAGTATGATGTACTTGATGTCATTCCACAACTCGCCAGGTCTTCGGTCACTGGTGTTCAATGTGTCAAATCTATTCTTGAGATGGTCTCTAAATTCAGGTGGTATGCTTGAGGTCATATTTTGGCTTTTGTGGACTTGCTCTAATTTTCTTCAACTTCAACTTGAACTTGCATATGAGCAACTGACAGTCTGTTCCTCAGTCGGCCCCTGGCCTTGTTCTGACTGATGACATTGAGCTTTTCTATCATCTCTTTCCACAGACGTAGTCGATTTGATTCCTCTGTATTCCATCTGGCGAGATACACGTGCACAGTCACCTTTTATGTTGCTGAAAAAAGGTACTTTCAATGAATAAGTCATTGGTCTTGCAAAATTCTATCATGCGATCTCTGGCATCGTTTCTATTTCCAACGCCCTATTTTCCAACTGCTTATCCTTCTTGTTTCCAATTTTCGCATTCCAATTACCAGTAATTATCAGTGCATTCTGACTGCATATTTGACCAATTTCAGACTGCAGAAGTTGGTAAAAATCTTCAATTTGCATAATTTTTCCACTCAATGTGTAGCCTTCTGTAAGCAACTTTTAGAACAGGTAGCGTCTCTTAATAATGTAACCTTCTTGTCATACATTTAGGTTATTTACTAGTAACATTTATATCTTCCCCTCAGATCTTGCTTCTTGGTGCTCAAAGTTGGAATACATTTCCTATGTTAAACTCTTTTATACTGATATCATCTGAATGACTCATCATATTCAATAACTTTATTATTCCCAAGGCTTTTTCTTCTCCTTTGCAATTTCTATCTCTTCAACACTGTCTGCCTGTTCATCTGTGTAGAGTCTCACATTGGTCTCACAGTCCACTTGATGTCTTCTGTAATTATTCATTAATATTTCTCCAATGGTTTCTCAAAATTATTAGACATGTACAACTTTTAAATATTTGATGAAATGAATGAGTGCTTAAAATATATGAATTTTTAAATTATGTAAATAAATGCTCAGAAACACATACCATTTTTACTTCAGCCATTACCCATCACCCATGCCTGGTTTCTATGGATCACTACATGCTTGTCAGTTCACTGGCTGAGGTCAATCAATATGTGATGTTCATACCCATATTAATCTTGGAGAAACTTATCTAAATGTTTTGAATATGGAGATACTGTTTTGCTTACAAGCTAAGATTATAAAGTGTTTCAACATCCTTGGTGAAGACGACAACATTTGGTAGATATTAACATCACAAACTCCTAGACCCCATCCTGGATATGCCAAACAGAATCTTCAGGGAAGGGCCTAGAAAATTGTTTAATTAACAAGCACCACCAATGATTCTTACCAGGTGTCATGGATTGAACTGTGCCCTCCCAAAATGTCTGTCAACTTGGCTGGGTCATGATTCCCATTGTTGTATGACTGTGTACCATTTTGTAATCTGATGTGATTTCCTTATGTGTTGTAAACTCCATCACTATGATGTAATAAGATGGATTGGTGGCAGTTGTGTTGATGAGGTCTACATGATTGGGTAATGTCTTAAGGCAATCTCTTTTGAGATATAAAAGAGAGAAGCAAGCAGAGAGATGTAGGAACCTCATACCACCAGGAAACCAGTGCCGGGAGCAGAGCATGTCCTTTGGAACTGAGGTTCCTGTGAAGAGAGGTTCCCAGATCAAGGGAAGATGGATGACATGGACCTCCCTCCAGAGCCGATAGAGAAACCGTTCCCCTGGAGCTGATGCCCTAAATTCGGACTTGTAGCCTACTGGACTGTGAGAGAATAAATTTCTCTTTGTTGAAGCCATCAACTTGTGATATTTTCTGCTATGGCAGCACTAGATGACAAAGACACCAGGTAAGTTCCCAAAAACAGTAGCCTAAAGCAACGGTCTTCAACTATTAGTGGACTCAAGAATGTACAATTTAAACAAGTACTCCTGGTGATTTAGATGGCAGCAGACCCTTAAACCTGATTATTTTGGACTACACCCTCTCTTCGTTAGAGTAGACAACTGTTCTCATTCAGTGGTGATGTTCTACATACAGAAGACATGAAAACCTTCATCAAATACCTCATAAATGTCCTGCCGATGGTAACGTGCCCAACATTATGTCATCAGATGGAAATCTTAGCTTCCATTTGCAGACAGCAACCAAACTGGCCTAAGTATTGGAGAAAGACTGGCAATTACCAATCTGCCCAAACCTTCTAAGATGGTGTGTAGAATAGCTTGGATGTTAGAGGAAAAACCCTCCATTTAAGTAATTTAACTGGAATCAACCAGGCCAAGATCCTTACGAGACCTCAAAAATAGGAGTCAACAGTTCTAGGATCCTCTCTGTAGGGAATAACGGTGCTAAAACAGGAGGCCCTCTCCTACTGGGATTCAAAGAAGGAAAACATACAGATGTACAGGTAGTCCCTGACTTACAACTGGGTTCCACTCCGACTACTCCATCATATGTTGGTTCTGACATGCTGAATACCTCATTTTTTTTTTTTTGTTTTCATTATTATTGCCTTTTATTATCAGTATCTTTATAAATCCAATCTTTATTTGTCTTTGGGGATTGGCAACATTACATCTTAGAATGATAACATCAGCAAATTCCGCATTGCAATGTTGTATGTAATATATATTACTGATGATGAGATACACAAAAAAAGAAAAGGATGGTCCTAAGTGTGGTTTGTCATAGGTCAGGAGCTACCTGTATAATGAAAAAGATAGAAAGTAGCTAAAACCTGAGTTGTTTCTAGAGAATGAGAAACTTCCAGGGACGTCATTGTTGTTAGCTGCCATTTAGTTGATTCTGACTCATGGCAACCCCATGTGTGCAGAGTAGAACTACTCCACAGAGTTTTCAGAGTTGTGACCTTTCAGAAACAGATTGCCAGGCTTGTCTCCCAAGGCATCTCTGGGTGAGTTCAAACCCCCAACTTTGGCTAGTAGTTAAGTACTTAACCATTTGTGCCACCCAGAACTCCAGAACAAATCTACCTGCTCTTTACTCACGTGTACGCTTTTGAAGCTGCTTTTGCCTGAGCCTTTCAAAAAGGTTTCTAAATGAATATACTTCATATGATATGTAATGATACAAATCTAAGTCTGTGTTAGAGAACAGTTGTGTTTTTGTTTCTGAAACAGTTTCTTTGGATTGGGGAATTCTGGTCCATTATAGCTGAACGACATTAATCTACCATTAATGACTGTCAGTGGTGGCATTCTGGTGGTGATCAAGTAGCAAAACATGATCACCAAAACAGGTCCTGATTACAGTCATTCTACTAGAAGTGAAACTCATTACACTTCAACTCAGAGTTAGAACAGACATTTATGGAGAACATAGTACAATCAGATGAACTGGGGCAAGAATAAAAGCAAAAAGTGTATTTAATGATGCTATAAAAAAGCACAATGTCAGATGATGCAGCCTATCAGAGTGAGCACAGAAATTAGGGCAAGTAAACCTGAATGCAGCAGAATTTGGCAATGGACTTCAGGATGTCTGAGTCTATTAAGGTAGTGGCCAGTCTATGTAATAGGCCAATGATGATAAGATCTACAACAGCTATAGCTGCAGATCAAAGAACCCCATGACCAGTACAAGACAAACTGGACTGTTCAGCAAAGCCAAGCAACTTGCTCAGGTCATCTGACTCACACTGGGATTTGAGCTCAATAATGACTGAAAAGCTCATTCTCTTTCTACCCCAGTAATGATTCTCTAGGTTACTTGGCAATGAATCATTTTCAAGAAACTAGAGATGTTTTGGTAATGTAAATAGCTATCTTTCCCTAATTAATCTGTCTGCTAATTTGATTTTCACATACAGTCATTATTATCAAGTGACAGTCATCTATACTAAGTCATTGTGGAAATCAATTAACTTTTACCATTTTTCACTAAAGTAAAATTTCTGAAGCAAATAATACTTAATCTCCAACACTTTACCTGTTCCAGCAATGTTCTTTGCTTTTCCAGAGCTACGCTAATATTTTCATTATTTTGCTCTGAAGTTTTCATGCGCTTAACATTTTCTTTATTTTCTGAAAACATCCTCTTCTTTAGATTATGGCCTTGGGAAAATGGAAAGATCAGTAAAAAAATTTCCTTCCAAAGAAGGAAACAGAGAAATTCTCTCATTTCAGGACTCTAAGAAAATGCCAAAACTAAAATCTGAAAATGACAGCATTTTTCAGAAAATATAATTGTATAAAAACACTCTGACAAACTATTCTTTAAAAAAATTAGTATCTTAATAGAGTTCTGGTCTCAGATACTCTTACACATACATCAACAAAAACTAAATAAATTATACCATTTAATCCTCTATTTACAGTTACTTAAGTAGTCCCACATTATAAAGTTACTTAGGCAGTCTGACATATTTTTAATAGACAATTGTATTATTATTTTCCAGCAATTTTAAATTCATCTTATTAAATGATCGTTCTGTAGCCTTGATAAGAACACAAATAAAATTTATCCAAGGAAATCAGTTTTTTCTTACATTTCATTAACCAACAAAAACATACTAATTCTAATGAAATTTACTTTTGCTGTTATATTTTCTAACTCTAGAATTCCATTTGGTAAACATTTGGTGTCTTTCTCTACATACGCACACGGACACAGACTACATATATCTGTATGTATGTGTGCATATATTATTTCTTAGTGTATTACTGGGATGTCATTTACAGGTCAATTTTATGGAAATAAATGAGTTCACCAACAATTTTAAAAAGTCACTGTGTCTTTCAGCTAGCCTTAGGAAGACAGCCTCCCTGTTAATCTAATAAATGAAATTTCAAAATAAGAAGAGCTGTAGATTAAAGGAGCCAAATAATTGTTGTAAATCACCGTTTGATTTTTTGCAATCTCAAGGGAAAGTGATTCTTTCTTTGCCAGAACTCACTTCCCTTTGGATATGGTGGATATCTCCCCTCCTTCCCACCAATAAGGGCTGAGAAACAAGAAACTATGAAATACTTATTGCCAGCATTTACTTGTGTCCTCATACAGCTTATAAAATTCTGCTAGGTGCTTTATTCTTTACAATGTTTTTCTTCTTCAGATGTAGTTCCCTGCTGGGCTCACTCTGATTAGAATCTCCTCCCTGTTAAACCTTCTCCTCTAAAGCACAGTTTCTTTCCATTCAGGGATATGTCATGGCTCTTGGCTGTTCTCTGGCCCCAATCTCAATAAACAATTACCCTTCTAAGTAAAAAATGTACAAAATGCTCTTAACAATCCTGCATATACCTATTAAACTTAAATAATCGTTTCTTCTGTATCATTCTGTCTATATATCTAAAATTTTAAAATACCCCAGAAGAAAGTGACTAATTTCCCCAAAAGATGCATTAAGTATACACTTACTGTTATTACTATCAATGTCGAGAGATGAATGCCATGTTGAGTCCGTACTTCCACAATCTGAAATGCTGGAATGACAAGTTCTACTAGATTCTTCAGTTTTCAAAACATCAGCAGCATATTTGCTGGAACTTACTGAATTCACCAAGTTAGGTGTTTTCTCAACAGGCACAAAATAGGAGTCTGAATTTAAACTGTTGTTATTTTGGTTCTTATCATGGGACTCTGACTCGGAGTTTGTTTTTAAGTAGGAAACCATCTTTTCGCTTCCCTTATCATCCAAGGTACTGGTTACTGAATACTTTGGTATTTGAACTATACCATTCAATACATGAGGTGAACAGTAAATGGATTTTAGATCACAATCTTCTATGTGTAGCTCAAAAATGGATCTTGTTATATTTGACTGACTTTCAAAGTATTTTTCAGAAGTATTCTGTGAATCTTTTGCCTCTTCTATAAACAGTTTCTTGAGAGAATATATTGTCCTACCTGGCTTTTGGTAAGGGCCTACAACTTCTTCATCAATGTACTCCAATTTTGTTTCTGAATTAACAATGTTTTCTACTGGTTCTATTAAATTCTGAGGGAATACTTTAATTTTTTGTGAGCATACTGAATTTTTCCTAGAGTCCAATGAGGAAGCATCATTTTCAGAATGTCTACATTTGCTTTGTATGATACCAGTACTTAAATTCTGATTACCACTTGGCACATTATTCCCAATTGTTGCTGTTTTCAGTGCTTCAACATTCTTTGACTTATTTAGGAGCTCTACTTGCTTCCGGCAACTTGGAGGCATTGTTTTTTTGGCTTTTAATATTTTCCGGTTACTTCCATCTGGACTTGCCATCTTTCATATCCTAGAATTTAAGATATCATTTAAACACATTTTTCCACTATATGACAGTTTAACTTACTTATTTACCATATTAAAATAATGTTGTCTTCAAATTTAGATAATCACTTTTTATTGGAAAGAAATTATATAAATTTTCATCTGTGTCACTGAAAATATACAAATAATTTGAATTTTTTCTATAAATCTAAACTTTATAAATTTAAAATTTATGTTGTTGTGGCTGTTGTTAGGTGCCGTCAAATCAGTTTCAGCTCATAGAGACCCTATGTACAAAAGAACAAAACACTGCCTGGCTCTGTGCCATTATTATGTTTAAGCCCATTGTTGCAACCACTGAGTCAACCCATCTTGTTGAGGGTCTTCCTCTTTTTCGCTGACCCTCTACTCTACCAAGCATGATGTCCTTCTCCAGGGACCAGTCCCTCCCGATAACATGTCCAAAGTATGTGGATGAAAATTTATACTAGTAAGCTTTTCCTTGATATTAAGCCTGAGGATTTATCTGGCTACTTTTTGTTATATTACCTCATATTATGACCACTCATTTTTAATTTTCCAAGCCAGAGTTTAGAAAATCTAAAGATTAAACTGTATTTCTTCATTAAAAAAAAAAATTCTGTATGCAACATTCCATTTTCAACAAATACTGGCATCTATTAAAGCCTTCCTAATGTTCAGGTTTCCAAAATAAAACAGTTTACTACAGGAGTAATTCTCTATAGTTACAAGTATAATACAAGCACTAAGATACACGGCATGATACCTGCTCAATTAAAAGTCAACTTAGATTGCATACTCCTCAATTCTTAATTATTTTTCATAATTAAAAAAAAAAATCTATCAGCAGAGAAAAAAAATTTAGTATTTAACCAGTAGCCACATCCCGATAGGGTTGCTATAAGTCAGAATCGAATTGATGGCAATGGGTTTGGGGTTCTTTTTTTTGGTATTCCAATCACATTTAATCTGAACTATAGGGTCGCTATCAGTTGGAACAGACTCGACAGCAACAGGTTTGTTTTTTTTTCAACAGGTAGGCAGGAGCCCTAATGGCACAGTGGTTAAGAAGTGAGCGGCTAACCAAAAAGTCAGGAGTTCAAATCCACCAGCCGCTCCTTGGAAACTCTATGCGACAGTTCTATTCCATCCCATAGGGTTGCTATGAGTCAGAATCGACTCAATGGCATCAGGTTAGGTTCTTTTGGTTTTATAGGTAGGCAGCTTGTTTAAAAGAAAGGAATAGTGACAGAGTACGAGGCACTCAAAGGTAAAATATAAGCAAACAAAATGAAATTATACTGACACATGATAAGATGGTTATCTAACAAACTACAGAACATTTCTTAACCTCAAAGTGAAAACAGAATCTAGGGCCTTGTAAGTTACAAATAACCGAACAAAACCTGCCTGAGTAGTGTTTCTATTTCATCATGATCTATTTTCTTACTTGAAGCTTTCTTTTCCTATATTCTTTTTCACTGAATCATTAGATCAGGAACAGTTCCAGGTTTTGTGAGACCTAAAAATTGAGGTAGCTATTTATTTAGCATGAGAAAAGATATCACAACAAATTACAAGTTGTAAAAAGCTGACATGTATTCATAAACATCACAAAATCCAGAAAAAGAATGTAATACACTCATTAATTAAGGGACTGATACACCTTTATAGTTCTGTTTTTCCTCTATGACTGCCTATTACTTGACTACCTCTTCATCAATACAATTTTATATTTCCCATAGAGAGAATCAACAAACCAAGTCTTTCCTCTAGTACAGATGGTCAATATTTGATCAACACTGATTATTTTTATTGATAGTCGGGATGCATAAAATAAGTAGCTTCACCAAAAGACGTACTTCTTGCTGATACTGCTATAAGTCTGTGCTGTATAAACACAAAAAAATTCTTATTATAGTTTGAAGGCATAATTCCTATCAAAAAAATACAAATGTATGGTGAATGTATAACTGAATGTGCTGTTGTTGAGTATATTTCTGACAAAAGAGAAGTTCTGTTTTGACTGAAAATCCAGGAGAACTAAATCCTCTACTTACAATTTTGTACATCAGATAATTGGAAAAAATCTCCCAGACTACTATGTGGCTTCATAAATTTCAAACCTTGGTTTCTCCACTACTCACATACTTCCGGTGCCAGGCACTGGAGGCTACCTTTCCATCGCAATCAGGATGATAGGCAATAATTACCTACACCCAGATGTTACTGTGAACCACAATTGTATCCCACTAAGTCCACACTAAGTATATCCCTAATATCACAAAATTCCTGAAGGCAGTTTACCACCACAAGGTTAAGGAGAAATCAAGGTGAAGAGAGACAGAAATCTTACATGATTGCAGTTAAAATATCTTACTTTTCAAAATCTTACAAAAACATAGAACCATGTGAACACACAGCTATAATCCTTCTCAAGGCCTTTGGAAAAGGCCCAAGCTACTAAGAAGTCCTGTAACTTAAGCTTTGGGATAAATCTACCTTTACATTTGATGCATTAAAAAGACATGTAATATGTGTTAATTATGAAGTATAACAATATAGTGAACATCTCAAACAAACAACAGCATGCATTTACCTACATCTCCCCATACCACATCCCCTTGTCCTTCTTCTTCCCCATCCTGAGGTATCCAGTATCCTAAATATCGAGTTTGTAATTCTACCGCTTTTTGTAAAGTTTTATATAAACGCCACATGTAAACCACAATATATTGCTTACTTTGGCTTGTTTTCCAGCAAACTATACAGTTTTCTGGTACTTGCTTTCTTCACTCATCACTATTTCCAAAAATTCTTCCATGTGGTTGTGTAAAGCAACAATTCACTCACTTTCAGGGAATTATAATAATCCATCAGGTCAATATAACAAAATTTGTTTATCTAGTCATTTATGAAGGATATTTGGGTCATTTCCAGGTTTTCTTTTATCTTAACATTGCTGCTGTGAACCTTCTTGTCTCAAGATGATAGTGTGTAAAAATTTCTCAAGTGGGTTTGGTGGATAGAGATGTTGTTTGGTACTGTCAGGTCAGTTCTGACTCATAGCAACCCTATGTACAACACAGCAAAACACTGCCCGGTCCTGCGCCATCCTCACAGCCATTGCTGTGTTTGAGCCCATTATTGCAGCCACTGTGTCAATCCATTTTGTTGAGGGTCTTCTTCTTTTTCACTGACCCTCAACTCAACCAAGCATGATGTCCTCCCCAGGGACTGAACCCTCCTGATAACATGTCCTAAGTATGTGAGACGTAGTCTCGCCATCCTTGCTTCTAATAAGGATTCTGGCTGTACTTCTTCCAAGACAGATTTGTTCATTCTTCTGGCAGTCCATGGTATATTCAATATTCTTCGCCAACACCATAATTCAAAGGTGTCAATTCCTCTTTGGTCCTCCTTATTCACTGTCCACCTTTCACATACAGATGAGGTGAATGAAAATACCATGGGCTGGGTCAGGTGCACCTTAGTCCTCAAAGTGACATCTTTGCTTTTTAACCGTTTAAAAAGGTCTTTTGCAGCAGATTTGCCCAAAGCAACATGTCATTTGATTTCTTGGTATCAAGAAAGGTATGCGAATGTTCAACTTCTCAAGAGAAACAATTTGTTTTCCAAACCAGTGGCACCAATTTATACTCTACGGGCAATGTCCGAGAGTTACCACTGATCTACATCCTCTTGAGCCCTTGGTACTGCCAGATGTAATTTTTACCCATCTACTTGGACATAGAATTATATCTGTCTTAATTTGCATTTTCCTGATCACTAGAAGCTTTTCATATGTTTACTGGCTGTATGTGTTTCCTTGTCTGCACAATTCCTGGCTACGTCTTCTTTATTTTTCCAATTGGGTTGTCCTTTCTCATTTATTTTGTAAGAGTACTTAATATATTATGAATAAAAATCCTTTGTTAAACTTTTGTTGCAGGAGTTGCACTTATCTTCTCCCATTTTGTGGCTTGTTTTTGCTCTTCCAAATTTATCAACTTTTTTCTTTTATGGTTAATGCTTTCTCTCCCGTTTGAGACATTCTTCCCCATCTCATGGTGATATGTAAAATAGTGGGGACTACTGGTGGTACAAGGAGCTCTGGTGGTGCAGAGGTTAAGCGCTGGGCTGCTAACCGAAAGGTCACCGGTTCAAAGCCACCCACAACTCCATGTGAGAAAGACCTGGTCATCTGCTTTCACAAAGATTACGTCCAGGGGGGTAAAAAAATCCTAAGGACACTTGGTCACGTGGGGTCGCTATGAGTCAAAGTTGACTCAACAGCATCTATCAAGTCCTCCCATTTTGTCGTTCTTCAAGAGTATCTTATTTTGACCCTTTGTATTGCCATATAAATTTCAGAATCAGTTTGAAAACACTTAAAAACAAAACAAACAAAACTCCTGTTTTTTTAACATACAACAGCTTTATTAAGATATGTAATTCACATACCACACAATTCATCCATATAAATTATACATGCAATGAAAAATCAAAAAATGAAATTAACAATTTCATTTACAGTATCATCAAAAAAAGTGTTTTTTAGTATAGTCACAGACTTGTCCAACCATCACATTACCTCCCCCTCAAAAAATCCAGTACCATTTAGAAGTCACAAACTCCATCTCCCTATTCCCTCAAGCTATAGACAACCACCAACCTACTGTCTTTTCATAGAACAGATTTGCCCTTTTTTGTGACTGGCTTCTTTTACTTAGCATGTTTTCAAGGTTCATCCATGTTGTAGCATGTTTATCATCACTTTGTTCTTTGTTATTATTGCCTAATACTCCACTACATGGATATAGCACATTTTACTTACCAATTCATCAGGTGACAGACATTCGAGTTTTTTCCACTTTTTGGCTATGATGACTGATGCTTCTATGGACATTTCTGTACAAGTTTTTGTATACACATTGTCAATTCTCTTAGGAATAAAACCAAGAGTGGAATTTGCTGAGCCATATGGTAACTCTATATTTGACT